ATAAAGAAATATTATAAAAATTGATATTCATTTTAATACTAATATTATTTGTATAATTTTAATTAAATAATTATTAAATTAAAAATAAATTATTATTTTTTAAAACAAATTAATTACTAAAAATATATTAATTATATCTATCCTATATCTTAAAGCACGAACCCTCCTTTTGTGCTCCCTACAGTTATACATGTAAGGTAGAATAGAATAATGGTTTTCAGAACTGAGAAGATTGACAGGTCTTGACGGTTGAGCTTCATCTTCATTTTATTCATATCACTTTCAAAAATGATGGTTTTGGGTATAGGGTCTTTTCTAATTAATTATCACTAGATGTCAAGTAAACGATAGCATAAATTATTCTTCACAAATGACATTCTCTTCGGCAATGTTTCGTCTCAACCTTTTCCTTGATGGAAATTGAAAATGATCTTCACATCTTTAAATGAACTAAATATTTAACTTACTAAAATACTCCTTAAGTTGAAACTCCATTACTCTTCCTTCCTAAATACTAAAAAGGATACTTTAAGAGAAAACTATAGTATTAAATTAAGTATAGTAAAATGAACCCCGCCAACTTACGTAAAAAATGCTTGCACTGCACCACTTGCTACCCAAGTAAAATGACCTGAGAGTGATTCTAGCAAATGAAAAGATGAGAATTTAAGAAAATGAATATAATGGTTTTGTGTTTGCTTCTTCCTTCGTTTTTTTACTAACTCCCTAATATTCGAAACTCACTTGGATCCCAACTAATTTGGAATCGAGTTGAATCAGACATCATAAAGGAAAGTTCTTACGGTGTTTATTTCTCTATTCATAAGATTCGAATTCAAGATTTTATTTAATAAAAATCAAACTATTTTTACTCAAATTAATAAGTCATTAGTATTTTGTGTTTGCTTTTATACAAAAAAAAATTTTCTTTTTGGGTTTTATTTAAGGAACTCCTACTCATAATTAAATCAAAGGTCAAGTATTGTTTTCTGTTGTATAAATGCTTCCAAGAGAGAAAACTAAAATTTGTCAGAGTTGATTAAGGTTATGTTTGGAAACTAGAATTTGTATTTGAATGATAAATTTTAAATACATATATTTAAGATAATTTTTGAATAGCTACTCATCTATAGAAGATGGGTTTTAAATACATATATTTAAAATAAGGCAAAGTGCGTATCAATCCTACCTCCCAAAAAAAAAAAAAAAATTGGAGTCCCAATTAAAACAACATCGTTCTCTTAATCCGCAGCCCCTCCTTTTTACCCCTTCTGCAATCAGCTCCATCACCTCCTCCGATTACTTCTCCATCACCTCCCATCTCCATCACCTCCTCCGATTCCTTCTCCATCACCTCATCCGATTCCTCTAATTCCACTACAATTCATCATCTCCGTTGATGGTAACCCCTACTTCTTTTCGCCTCTTCTGCATCTCCATCTCCATCAACTCCTCCAATTCCTTCAATTTTTCAAATGCAATCCCACACCACTAACTTAATCCCCAGCACCCATTATTTTAACCCCATTTTGCCGCTACAATTCATCATCTCCGTCAACGATAACAGAGAATGGATCAAAGGATGGTAAGTGCTTTGTTTTCTTACTAAGCTCTATCTACCCAAAAAAAGTCGAAAAAATCTCTCTTTTTTGTTGGGGTCTCTTTTTACTGATCGGTCCCTTGAATTTTTCAGATACAATCACGTTGTCGATGGTAACAGAGAAGGAATCGAAGGAAATGACCATCTAAAATTCAATGATTTACCCTCTTTGTTCTCCAACAGCAACTGGGACAGAAAGTTTTTTTGTTTTCTTACGCCAATTTCTTATTGAATCAGGAAAAGAAAAGGTTGCTTTTAGGAGTTGTTTGTTTATTCAATTAAATTTGGTAACCTGAGCCATCTTTTCTTAGCTATTTGATGATAAAATTCTTAAACTGGTGCCTTGTAAATTATATAAATTTTTTGTTCATGCTATAGAATACTAGCATTTTGAGGACTGGAGCATGCAAGTGACTGTAGTATGAAATTGAAGGAATCGGAGGAGACGATGGAGATGGGAGGCGATGGAGATGATGAATTGCAGGGGTTACTTCTCTAACTTATGCAATTGTTTGAAAAATTGAAGGAATCAGAGGAGTCGATGGAGATGGGAGGCGATGGAGATAGAGATCGAGCTGATGGCAGAAAGGGCAAAAAGAAGGTGGGGCTGGGGGGATTAAGAGAATGATGTCGTTTTAATTGGGACTCTAATTTTTTTTGGGAGGTAAAATTGATGCGCACTTTGTCGGATATATATAATTTTAAATACATATATTTTTAAATTTACTATTTAAATTAATATAACAGAAATGAATTTGATATTCAATTTATTGATTGAGCCATTTTTAAAAACACTTCCAAGACAATCCCTTTGCAACTTTCACTAACATGCCCAAGCCATATAACAACTTTCATCCCATCCACTAAAAAACAGGAAATAGAACAATCACTAGTACCCCTAGCACCGCCCACCAAAGGAGCAAATATAAATCTCAAGAAAAATTCTACCGGCCAAATTATTTGGAGACGAAGAGTATATTCCATAGAAACAAACAAAACTTACCAAATATGAACCCATGGAAAAGGAAACCCAAAAACAATCTATTTCTCTGGGAGAAGATTTTGCAGTATTTCAAGATGAATCAAAACTTTTGTAAAATTAAGAAGATTCCTCTCAAGTACAGAAAGGGACGAGAAAACGGGATCTTTGGAGGGAAAAGTGGAGTACTAACGATAAATTGTTATCCATCTCTATACCAGAGATTGGTCGTCTGGCGCCTTCGTCTGACAAAAATCATCAACCGTTAATATTTTTCTAAGAGGAGAGAGTTGAATTACTTGGATTTATATTTGAAATACATAAAGTTAGTAGGGTATTTCAAATACATGAATTTAAAGTAATAAAATTATTGGGAGATAGGCTCAACATTAACAGTGAAACCCAAAGAGGCATAAAGCCTAAAAAATACAGGCACGATAGTCATGGGTACTCACGTGATTGGAGATAGATGTACCAATAAGACGACAACATGTGACTGCGTTGTTAGGGATAAAGATTTATAAATACCATCAATTACTTCCACACACACGGAACAAAGATTTATAAATACCATCAATTACTTCCACTCACGACAAGAACTTCTACATATTTCTCTCTGTAATTATTTTTTTTAAGAACTTTTTTTTTTTAAATATAGATATTACTAACTTGAGTATCAAAGTATTTTCTTTGAAAAATATCATCAGTTTTTTCAGATGTTGGAATTGCTTATGATCTCTACGGTAAAAGTTGTGAAGCTGCCCAAACAAAAATATGTGAATTTAATTACAGATATTTAAAATAAATTCAATTACATATTTATTTTACGAAAATAAACAGTAACATTAAATTTGAAAAGCTAAAATTCAAATACACTTTACAAAATTTTCGTGCCCAAACATGCCGTAATTGAATTCTATCTTGTTTTCTAGCTTGAGAGAGACCAGGCTGCAGGAAAATCAATAAGTCAATGATCTTCCATTTCTTTAAAGTTGACCTAAGCGTTTTCCATACTTTCGGCTGTATGGTTATGATCATTAATTTTTTAATAAAGATTATTAAAATTATATTAAAAATGGAATTTTATTATTAAAATAATTAATAATGGATAAAATAATTATATTCATTAGTTAATAAATTAAAATAAATATATAAATTAATATTTTTAAATAGAAAAAGTTAAAAATTAATATTTTTATTTAAAATTTAATAAAATTAATATCCTTAAATAAAAAAAATACAAAATTGGTATCCTTATTTACGCTTTTTCTTGTGCCCTAAATTTGATAGGTTAATGATATAATTAATATATTTTTTAATATTAATTAATATTAAAAATAATAAAATCTGATATTAATTTCATCAACTATGTTATGTATATCATTTAATTGAACAATAAATTAACTAAAGATAAATTTTTATTTTTTTGTAATAATCAATACTTAGTTATTAAATTTTACTACTATTAGAGTTCAAAATACATTAAGATTCAAAGATTATTAAATTTTACCGCCATTAAAGTCCAAAATATATCAAGCGCCAAAAGGTTAAAAGGGGACTACACACGGACTGCAATTTTAATGGGGTCCGGCTCTTCAGTTCTTCCGTGTTTTAGTTCTCTTCCAATGCATTTGACCATTTCTGATTAAAAAAAAAGTGGTATGAAAATAATTTATTTTAAAATTTTTTTAATAAAATTTTTAAATATTATTAAATAAAAAATATATTTAATATTATAAATTTTAACTAAATAAAAAAATTCAATCAATGTAAATGTTAGATAAAAATTATCGAAAAAAGTGATAAAAAAATTTCTCTCAGAATCATTTTCAAAAAAAAAAAAAAAACAGGTCTGATTTCCCGTTTGTCCCTCCATACTTGTCTGCTCAAATGTCAATCCTACTATCCGTCTACAATCCAATTATCTATCATTCTTCATTTCAATTTCCCTTCATTATGTCCCCATTTTCATTATTTTCGGGATTTTGTTCTGATTTTTTTTTTTAATCTCAATTTCAAATTTCAATCTGTCATCCATCATTTATCAACCATTTTATGTTCAATTTCATTCATGTCACCATTTCAACAAAAGCTACCCGACTTCAATTTATCCTGATTGATTTCATTCAATTCAAATATCTTTCTATTTCTATCCGTCAAGTTTCGATTCAGGTCCAGTTTCTGATAAAAGGTTTCGCATCTAAATCTCATCATGTTTCAAATTTTCAAATATAAATCCCTTTTTTACTATTTGTAAAAGCCAGTTAATCGTTGCTTTCTCCTCCGCATGATAGAAGAGTCACTAGGTTTGTGCCCCTGCTTCGACTCTTATCATTTTGCTTTAATCTTTCAAGGGTTTTTTTAATTCTCTCTGTATTTACAGGATGTGAACTATCAGAGCACGGCGTAGCTCACATTCTTGAGGAAAACAGTTGTCTTCAAGCCACATTTTAACTTCACTGACAGTTTCACGCTCCTATCATGGCTTTCCAGTCGAATTTTAGTTTTAATTAGTACAATTTGGGTAACTTTAGCTTGATTTTTATGTTTAATCATTATTTATTGCATCTACTTTTATGTTCTAATCAAATATCATTCATTTGTGCTTTTAATTCATTAATTATGAATTCATGGAAAGAGAAATTTTCTTTCTGTATTTCCCAGCCAAATGGAAAATTATAAATTATTGTAAATTGTTTCATTGGCACTAAATTAAGCAGGCTGTAATTTGCCATGCAATTCATTGAACTGTTCCTCTCTAATGGTTTTCCATTGACATTTATGCACAGATGCTTGCAGCTTAGACTAAAACAATGAATAAAGGACCAGCTATATATATTCCCTGGTGCTAGGAGTTAAAGCCTTCGAGGTTAGCCACTGTTAGTGAAAGACTGAAAATAGAATTCTTACTGTAGTGTGCATTAGTATATTACTCTAATGATTCCAATTTTTATAGATGTTTGTGATTTGTATGTATTTGGTAAAGTTTTAGTCTTGCAGTTGTTTTCATCCAAGCGTAGCGTAACTAGTGTTTTGATTAATCGGAAATTTGTTGACTAAATTTGGTTTTTGGGCTTGCTTGCTTTTCTTTGAACTCTTTTAAATTGGTTCAATTAGTCTCTTGATGCAGGATGCTACTTTTTGGCCCCTCCTTAATCTGAAAATGGAGTTCATACCTTAACAAACCATTCCAAAATTGTCCGGGGAAGAAAGTGAAATAAGTATAGGTATAAGTTTCCCATTTTAGGTTTTTGAATTATTTTTTAGAGATAAAAACTACAGTTTTTCACAATTTCCCCTAGCTCAGTTCTTTCATCTAAAATGCACTATAGGCATTTCTACAAAACATAGATAATGTCAACTTACCCTTCTTGGGAAGTGAATAGGTAAGTTGGATTGCCATATGTACCAAATACACAATGATGTTAAACACATTCAGAGTTCTCAATATATATCAACACAGAATTGCAAATTCTTAAAGGTGGCCCTCTTTATCTACATTTTCTCATGATCATTTCATTTTTAAAGGATGTCTAACACTGTTATTTGGATGTGTTTTAGTTACATTTTGTCATAATTCTTTTGACAGATATTTTGATATAGTCTATTAGTGATTTATTCTTTATTCCTATAAATAGAAGAATTTAACACAACACAATTTCTTCTATGTTGGGGAACCTGCATAAATAACCAAATTATAAAAAGAATTACGCTATAAATAAAGAGACTTCATTATAAGGGTCCCATAAACTATTGTCCATGTATAATTGGGTATAATGGTTGCCTTTTAGGTGGCTAGATGGGTGAGTAAATGTATAAACGAAGGGTTTATAGTATTAAAATCATGAAATGTCCAAATAAATATCATCTTGATCATTAAATTTCCTCGAAACAATATGAATGTGCAAGGTGAAAGAGGAAGAGTGAGAAAGGAGAGAAAGAAGAATGCAGGAGAGGTAGGAAGAGATTATAAATAAATAAAGAGATATGAATAAAGAATGACTAAAAGGTTACAGAAAAACGAGGAAGAGAGATTATGGATTGAGAAAAATTTATAACCAGAGAGTTATGGACAATCTATTTGGTGTTTTTTTAAGATTAATACTAGTTGCCCTGTCGCTATATGGTAGAAAAATCGGTAAGCTAGATTTTAAGGACCCCAATCTCAAGAAAGGCAAAAGGAGAATAGTTGCCCTATTATCTTCATTTCTTAGCATGTAGCTTATGTGCCGGATTTTAATTCTATATCAGATAGTGCAATGAAAGCAGTGCCTACTCATAAGAGGCATGTGTTAACATGTGAATCTTCTGTTTAGCATGATAGAGTTCAATTTGCAACCTTCTGATTTTATCAAAAGTTCATCACTGTTTATACTTTTTTTTCCAAATTTGGTGCTGGATTCTGGGTAAGCTATTGTTAGTGCATGTAATAGAAAAAGGGAATAAGGAGAAGAATCCAAACATTTTAGCCAAGAAATTAAGTTAAATGTGTTGTTAGCAATTGGATTTTGAGCATGTAAAGCCTCATGAACTGGACATATCATTTTCCGTATTCATAAATAAAATTCTCATCCTAGAACTTGCTGCTGATTGCATCCCAACTGTATTTACTTACACTGAATTGATAAGGGGGCTTGGGAAAGCTGGACAGGTTGAGGATGCTTAACACCTTGTTCATGAACTTGTAAAAAGAGGGTGTTAAGCCAGATGCTGTGCTTATCAACAATTTGTTAAACATTTTGAGGGAAAGTAGGCTCAGTGGAAGGTGCTTTTAAGCATTTTAATGAAATGAAGTCTTGGCAATATGAACCAAATTTTGTTCGTTATAATACTCAGAAAGTTTTGCTACGATATAATGTCAGTAATTTTGCGTTAGATAACTAATTATCATTGTAGGGTCCGTTTGATTTTATTAGGTATAATTAGTTTTCATTAGTTTTGCCCTGTCTCTATTTTTCTCTATTGAGTCAAGGTAGGTTGATTAGTTTGCCATGTTTTATTACAACCTAGGTTGATGGAAGAAAGATTAAGGGAACGGTAAAAACAAATAAAGCTTCAATTAGCATAAAGAAGGGAAATGCTAAAGCGTGAAGTATGATTGTGATCCAAGAAAAGTTTAACTCATTTGTTTATGCATGGCATTAGGGTTTGGTGTAGGAATGGTTTTATACCATTAAGACAATTAGACATATAATATTTCAATGAATGGCTTTTATGTTAGTCGGCTGTGATTTCATACCAATTGATAACTAAGTTGGATTTTGTGCATGAATAATTGTATTGTTCTACTAACATATAATATTAATAAATCCATTTTCTTTTTACAAAACTAATTCCTAGCAAAAGTGATGTTCACATAATTTTTCTTAAGGAAGAATGCTCTAATTAATCAAACTCTAAGGAATAAAAGATGGATAAAATTAATGAGTAAAAATTTAAGACCAAATCTCCATATAACGGAGGTAAGGACCACTAGTTAATACTAAAAACGTGATCTGAATTAAAAAAACCATTAATTCATAAGAGCCTTATTAGAGTTTGGGAAAGAGACCTGCCTTTTCTACACATAGACAGCTCTGTTCTTTTTTAACTTTTGATTTTAAATGCATAAAAAGTTGCTCCACTGACTTGCTTAATTGCTTTTCGCATCTTTTCATTTGTCGGTAAAAAGCCACTTTTAGGCGTTTATTTTTAATTTTTTATTTTTTATTATAATATTTTTTATTTTTTATTTTTTAAAATTTTTAAA